GATATGACGTGGCACGTCGTGGGATGAGCTGGTTACATACTGGTGTGTTCATGCGCTGCAGCTGAAGAGCGAGAAGGGATTCTATGATTCACTTGGCGGTGCTATGATTCCCTTGGCGATGCTATGATTCCCTTGGCGATGCTATGACTCCCTTGGCGATGCGGGCATCACGAAGCTTCAGACCAAGCTCCGCTGTGAGAAAGAAAATGAGTCGAGCGAAAGTCTCTTCGACGAAATTATGCTCCTCAGGAGGTCGACTAGGGCAAGTCGAGAGCGCTACCGAAAAGTCAACGAGGCGTGTCAACGGGTAGAGCTGAATGCACACGTCACTGTCCGACGGCAGCACAACCCAGCGCGGAGAGGAGGCAAAACGACAGCAGCTTGGCCAAGCACGCAGGAGGCCTCCAGTGACAGGTGCTTGGTCGTCGGTGGGTACTTGTAAAAGAGTAATGGGCAATCACGCCGCCGTCATTAACGTTTAGATTCATGTTGAACTATCAGCAATGGCTAGTAACAAATGCATGTAACGATCGAGCGAATGGCCATCCGCTGGCAGTATATTAGCGCAAGCGGGTGATACCGACCCTATAGGGGTCTCGTAAGCAACTCAAGGCGAAGCTCCGTGCCACGTCATAGTCGCTAGACGTCACTGAGACGTTGATGACACTGGCGCGGAACGAGTCGTCTCGCAGCGCTGTAAAGATCGCACGCAGTGCCGGCAGTCCGACGTTGTTCTCGCTCAGATCCAAGCTCCGCATGTGCGCTGTGATGCGCAGCACCTCGCTCAACGCCATCGCCGCGTCGTTGCCGATGCGGTTCCGGCGGAGACTGAGCATAGTGAGGCGAGGCAGGAGAGGCCAGAAGGCCATCGCGCCGTCATTCGCAATGACATTGTCCGTCAAGTCCACGTCTGCGAGCGACGGGCACAGCGGCAGGCTGCGGGCAAGGATGAGGGCGCCAACGTCCGAGATGCCTTGTCGGATCAGCGATAGTCGTCGCAAGCGGTAGCACGCAGGAAGCACGGCAGCGATCTCCGCAACGCCATCGTCGCCGAGGTGACTCTTCTCAAGCCGCAGCTCTGTCAGGCGCGGCAGTACCGTCCACAGTGCATCTCGCGCCATCGGGCGTAGCTCCAAGTTGGTAAGATCCAGTCGGCGCAGCCGCCGCAGCGTCGGCAGACACTGCACCAGTGGCAAAATGTCCAACGGACGACTATAGAGGCCCAGGCGGACGCCAAGTGCCTCCAGATGGAGATGGAGCGCTACGGCATTGGATATCTTGTCGACTGGCTCGTCGACCGCCGTCGGCCGATCGATGCCAAGTTCGAGCTCGCAGAGGTGCGCGGGAAGCGGGGCGGCCACAAAGGCCCGAACCAGCGCGGTGTCATCGAGCGCCAGCGACCGAAGCGTGCGGCACGATCGGATCGCGCGCACCGGAGATGGAGCGCTACGGCATTGGATATCTTGTCGACTGGCTCGTCGACCGCCGTCGGCCGATCGATGCCAAGTTCGAGCTCGCAGAGGTGCGCGGGAAGCGGGGCGGCCACAAAGGCCCGAACCAGCGCGGTGTCATCGAGCGCCAGCGACCGAAGCGTGCGGTACGATCGGATCGCGCGCACCACAATCTGCACTTGGCTTTGCATCGGAAAACGGCCGCGCAACCTGAGACTCGAAACGGGGGCCGTGGTCAGCCACTCGGCAAAGACGCGACTTATAGCTTCGCTCCACACATTCGTGGTCAGCGAGAGGTGCGTGAGGCTGCGCAAGGTAAAGAGCGCTGTAAGGACCAAGCCCATCTCGAACGCGTAGGGGCCTTCGCAGCTGAGGTGCAGCGAGCGCAAGCGGGGGAGCGTCGGGAGCAGCGTCGCCAATTTCTCAAGGTCCGAGCGCGTCCAGTGGCAATGGACAGACGACACTTCGACGCTCAAAAGTGAGATGCGAGTGTGCCAGGGCGCGAGCCGGGAAAAGACATGGCGTGCCTGAGCAATGCGACGCGGCAGCTCGATCGCGACGTGCGGAGGCAGGTCCCAGGGCACGCGGCTGCTGGTGTCAGTGGTTAGCGACGCATACAAGCAGCTGGCCGCCTGGAAAGCGGCAAGCAAGATCGGCTTGTCGTAGATGTCGAACGTCTCTGGAAGAACGAGGGTTGACAAATGCATCGACCTACTACGCGTCGCGTCGACAAAATCGTCGGCGAAGAGCTCGTCGACAAAATCGCCGGCAAAGAGCGCGCGGAAGAGGGTTTGAAGCGCGGCGAACGACGCCGTGAGCAGCGCTGGCGGCAGCGCCAACAGGAGCGATGCGACGCCGGCCTCGGCGACCATGTACATCACGATGAGCTGGACAAGGTCCGGCGACAGGCCTGTGGCCATGGCAGCGATATATGACTTGGGAGCAAACGAACTTCGAAGTCACGATAGAGCATCACTCGTGAGGTGACGATGCAGATGGCTCGCTACCTCGAGCGCAGAGTGAATGTCATTGTTGTAGTGTCAATTGCCTCCAACAATTCCATGACTCGATGCGTTTGCGCTGGTACGGACGGGACAGTTGCCGTCGAGTCGAGATGGCTTTGTTGCGATCTTGCAACTTTCGTCGTCGCTGATTGGCTCCGCGCAAATCTTCGAACTTCGATTACAACCCAACCGCAACCGAGATGGCACTTTGTTTTGCCGCCGATGGCCGACCGACTCTCGCTGGAGCTCCTCGAGCTCATCGCGTCCAGCGTGGCCGACCAGGCAACGATGACAGCGCTGCTCAATGCGCTGCCCTTGAGCCTCCTCTCGCCAGCCCTCGTCGGCGTGCGGCGCCTGCTAGCACTGCACCCAGCCAGCGACGTGTGGCCGACGCTTGGCGCGACCGCGTCGATGCGAGACGCGCCCGCGCTCGCTGCGCTGCACGAGTGCATTTCGCTCTACCCAGTGGTGCGCGTCTACGACTTGTCGCTGGCGCTGCCTCTGTGCCTGACGACGCGGGTCGAGCTCGTCCAGATCGGCACGCCGCAGGCGCTCGACGCAGCACTCGACCTATGGCACGGCGCCATCTCAAGCCTACATGTGTCGGTTTGGGATTTGCGCTTGGGAGGTCGATGGTCCTCGCTCGATACTGCGAGGCTGGCCAGTGCACTGCCCCACGTACCTCATTTGCGCGAACTCCACCTGTCGTGGGGCGGCAGTACTGACGGACTCGACGCCGTCCTTGACACGATCGTTGCCACCAAGATTACTTCGCTTGAGATCACCATGGGCCGCGACGTTATGTATTGGAACCCGTCCCGCGTCGATCGTCTCCTCGCATGGTTGCAGACCCGTCCTGTGCGTGAATTGCACCTTACGAGAGTGTCCTTGGCGCCAACGCTATATGGCGAGGTTGTGCGGGCCCTCAACGGATGCAATAGTCTTCACTCGCTTCGCCTTTGCGACCACGTCCTTGGGCATAGCGTCTTGACGAGTCGGGCGGCGTGGCCAGCGGCGCTCCAGTCGCTCCATGCAGTCGTCCATTTGACGGGCGATGCGGGTCGCCTCGCGTACGCCTCGACCTTGCAGCGCCTGTCTCTCATCGCGCATCAATACACGTCTCTGGGTGGCGCAGCGGTGCTCGAGGCAGCGGCAGAGCTGCGATACCTTCGGCACTTCAAGCTCGATTGCCAAGTCCGCGATGTGATGCCCTTACCACCGACGGCACACCTCGATCTCACGGCATTGCTTCCTCGGCTCGTCGACCTGAGTTTGATCCACACCCAGCTCGGCGACGAGGGTCTTCTGGCACTCGCATCGGCGCTGCCACGGTGCACGCGGCTGCAGCGACTTGTTCTCGTCCAGCAAGGCTGCACCGACGTCGGTGCAGCGGCGCTAGCAGCTCACTTGCCGCTTACGCTCGAGACGCTCGACCTCAGCAGCAACGTGATCGGCTGCGACGGCGCATCAGCGCTTGCGTCCGCCATTCGAGCCCACTTGAAGGTGCTGCGTCTCGGTTTTAACCAAATGGGACTCGGCGGTGCGATCGCGTTCAGCGAGGTCATGCGTCAGACCGAGCACATGACGTGGCTGGGCTTGCAGGTCAACCCGATCGGCGCAGACGGTGTCCTCGCCATCGTGGCGGCCCTCGCGCAGTGCGACACCCGCGCTGGCCCTGTGTTTTTACAAGGCACACTCCCCGCCATGCATCATCCAACCGACAAGTGCGAGAAGGACGCGTGTGTGCTGGCCGTGGCCAATCTGCCAGAGCCGACATGGTGCTGCCTGACCTAAGTGGATATGTAAAATGGAATTGGTGTGAACGTGGTTTAGTGCATTGTACATATGGGTGTAGACCACGAGGCACATACAAGGTGTACGAGTTTAGTATGCATAAGACTCCCGTCTCCCACGGAAAACTCTACCGCAGACAGTGCATTTTCGAGTAGCCCACCCAAGCGAGCCTACCACGAGCAGTCGAAACGAGCCGAGGGTCACATCATGTGACCTCCTGCGTCGTTTTGACGGAGCGTGAAGTGGCGGCGGCGTCCGACGGGTGGCGCTACGGCTGATAACACTGCGTTCGATGTTGAATTTGTCCTCTTATTGGCTATGGTTGAGGGATGGATGGCATCCACGCTATCGTCGCTGGCTAGACAAGCGATGAGCCCAATTTATCAAAACGGGTTGTTCCTGTCGACATCTCCGAGTCGAACGTTGTGGTGTGCCACGGGTAGAGCCGGGTTTGATATCCAACGAATCCCTCGTGTATGGCGAGGCGATGGCACCCATGGCTAACCGTGATGTAGCGACCGTGACCACGAAAAAGGCTGTCATGGTTTTGTATTAGAAACGAGCATGACGACGACGCAGTAGCATTTCTTAGAGCTTGGAGCATCTTCGCAGCGAAATGCTAAAGCTAACCATTTAAATAGCGGGAAACGTGCCCTACCGAGGCCAGCTAAGCTATTTTTTTGCTTTTTCCCCCGGGTCCCCCGGATAGAATTCGCTCTGGAGGAGTGCCTTGCAGCTAACCATAGCACAATACAACAATCATGTCAGCAAATCAAAAACAAAGCTCCACGATCGCACCAGCCAAGCACAGCCATGTCAATGGAAAGGTGCTTCAAGCTCGTCGTCCGAGTCTTCCAGTTGCACCAGACGTTGCGGATGAGCAGCGGCTTCAAAGCATGCGCGTCAAGCACGTCCACCGTTGGCGATGCTGCCGCCTTTTGCTTTCGCTCGCGATGCGTAAAATTTCAACATATTTAAACGGAAATGACCAGGAAACCCGCCTACTTTGACCGCTTGGCCTAGCTTTAGCTGGGCCGCGGTGAAGATGCTCCTAGGCAACAACTCACGAGTGTGTTTATCCATGCGGTGAGTACGGAGTATAAGCAACGCGCCGACTGACTGGTCGCGGCGCGCGGCTTGCGCGGTGGTCTTCGCGGGGTTTAGTAACCTCGCTTTGATAGGCCGGTCGTTGCCAGCTGGCGGCGGATCGTCCGGATACAACGCGACGTCAAAGTGCAATCTCAGCATGACCAAGCGGACGCGCGTCGCGGCGCCGGACCTCGCGCCCGAGCTTCTCGAAGCGATCGTCGCGTTCGTACCGCGGCAGCATGACGTGCATGTGCTACTTGCGTCGCTGCCCGCAGCGCAGCTATCGACGCCGCTGCTGGGCTTGCGTATGCTCTTTGTAGCATTGTACCGTGGCCGCCTCGGCGTCGACAGCGTCACGCTCTGGCCACGACTCTGCCTTCCGCACGCACTGCCCGACGAATCGGCCTTGCTCGCGCACCTTAGCGCCGCCTTGTCGCTCTACCACAGCACCGTCGCGCTTTCGTGGAGCAGCGCCCGAGTCGTTGTGCCCGCCTCGACCTCGGTCGCGCTGACGCTACCAAGCCCGGTGCCATTTGCATCGTGGCCGAGCGAGCGATTGACAGCGCTCTCCGTCACACTCAATCCGCGCGCGGCGTGGACCCGCGGCGCGCTCTTCGAACTGTGCACCGGCCTGCGACACCTGCCGATGCTGTCCCGCCTGTGTGTGCACTGGGCGCACGCCGCCGAGGACTTTAGCTGCCTACTGCAAGCCATTACGCACTCGCACGTCGTCGATCTCGAGCTCCAGTTTGCGCGCGACGACCGCATGAGCTGGAACGCCGACGCGGTGACAACGATCGCGTCCTGGCTGCAAGCCCGGCCCGTCACTGCGCTCACGCTCGGCTACCTCAAAGTCGACGAGCCATCGGTCGCCGCCTTTTGCGCGGCCCTCCACGCGTGTCGCACGCTGCAGTCGCTGTCACTGGACCAAGGCGCGCTGGCCCACGCCTACTTTGTGGATGCTCACGTGCCGCCGACGCTGACGTCCCTTGTCGTGCACGGCTGTCGCTACGCCGGCATGCGCAGCATCATGGCGTGTCTTCAGCACGCGCAGCTCGAGGTCCTCTGCCTCTCGTTCCGAATGCACGAGCGGCGCAAAGACGACGAGCTGCTCCGCTTCGTCACGGAGACCCTCCCGACGCTGACCCGGCTGCAGTCATTGGACTTGCCGCACTACAGCTTTTGCCCGGCCTCGGTCGCCGCGTATGCGTCGCTCGCGCCGCAGCTGCGGGATCTCAATTTTGAGACGGGCCAGATCAAGACCCAAGTCGGTGCCGACGCATTGCGTGCGGCCTTGCCTCGCTGCGCGACCACGCTGCGTCGCTTCAAGATGAGCAATCTCCTCTACGGCACCCTTGCGATGACCCGCGCGCTCGGACACTGTACCGCGCTTACTCACGTGATGCTCCGTGGCAGCCGCCTCGGTGTCGACGGGGCAGTGACCATCGCAGCGGCCATGGCGTCGCTGCCGTTGCTGGAAGAGCTCAATTTGAGCTCCAATGCCATTGGCTCCGAAGGCGCGATCGCGATTGCAGACGCGGCAATTACGCATTGCCATCGCTTACTCGACCTCAACCTCAAGACAAATGACATCACGTACGACGGTGCGGCCGCGCTGAGCCGCCTCTTGCCGCAGCTCGTGTCGCTCGAGATCGGTTTGAATCAGATCGGACAAGAGGGCGCGAGAGCGTTGGCCCTGGCCATCCCAAGCAGCGTCGCCTTGCGCTGGCTGGGCCTTGCCTACAACGTGATTGGCGTCGACGGGTTGTTGGCGATCATCGAAGCGGTGGCCATGGCTGCTTGTCCGTGGCAGCGCATCGGCGCCAGCGCCACCGGCATGGACGACGCTGAGCTCGCTGCTTGCCGCGAGGCCATTAGTCGCCTGCCGTACCCGCATGCGCTCGTGCTGTAAAACGTCAATGTACGCGTTGTCTCTTTTGATGCAATGTAGCTATCGCAAGGCGATCGTAGCTGCTCAGGTGCTTGCTTGTCGTCTGTCCATCCTGTCATTGCCTTTAGAGACGCCGACCGAGTCGCGCCTGGAAGCGCTCGTCGAGCATGTTGAAATGGACGCGGAGGACCTTGCGTATGTGGACGTGTTTCGAGGCGACGTTCTGGGCTAGCAAACCGGTGACAAGCGCTCGATCTTTCGCAAGGTCGCTCACCACGGCTACACCATAAAGACGGCAACGGAAGCGATTCCATCCGGCGGCGTTGGCGCGATCGCGTTTGGCACCGAGTGAACCCCGACTTGGTAACGAACGCAGAATGAGGCGCTCGACCCCATCGACTGGACACGTTGTGCATACGTCGGCGGTGCCAGAAGGCTACAACGACGTCCTGACCTTGGCCTCGGACGGCGCCGTCTTAAGCGACCAAGGTGTTTCTTGCTGCAAACATTCCATTGGATAGCACCAAGTCACGTCCCTCCAAGCGTTCCGTTGCAATCGTAAGATCGACTGGCTTCCAAGACAAATAAGGATCTGCGACGACGACTTGGTTCAAGATCTACTGAAGGACACACTCGACGCCGTCGTACTCGGTCCCACCCAGTGTGGCTTGGATGCGCTTCTCGCGCCGGTGTTCGTCTTGGGGGCGATATTCTTTATGGAACGCAAGGACCGCCTTGTGCTTCTTTGCCCTCTTGAACGCAAGCCGGGAGCAGCCTTCACGGCGGTGTTGATGCAGAAACTGGACCTTCTCGAGCTTGGCGTAGTAGAACTGGAACATTTCCTGGAGAGAACACGAGACTCCATTTTGGTAGTCGAGGATGAGGCTGCGTGAGAACGTCCATTGCAGTGTGACGTGCACGAGCTGGAGCGGCGGATCTCGAGTGAACACGCGTTGGTTGGACGTCGGTCCTGCCAACAGGCACCACAATTCGTGTCCAACGACCCAGCGAACCCCTTGCCTTTTAGTGATAATGCACAATGGCGCACTCTTCCACTGCAAGTGTTGTACGGAATTCAAAATGGTCGGAAGTGTCGCTTTGGTTGTTACTCTAGACCATTGGGGTGGCCATGGAGGCCCCACATCAACCCCTTGCATACGTTAACCACTGCATCGGGTGGTAGCATCAACTAGTAGTACTAGTAGTGTTGTGCGGATATAGTAATCTGCAAGGTTGCGCAACCACAACTCGAGGCGATCTCGTTTTGTGCCCACTTTTGTGTCGACACAAAATGAGTGTCACAAATGTGACACAAAATACGCGCTGCCGATTGGCCAAAAACACAGTGCAATTTCAATTCGTGATGGAGCAATGGTACCGGCCCGCCGTGTCGCCGGAAGTCCACGCCGCGCTGTACGATGGCATGGCGCGCCGCCTGCAACTGCCAGCGAACAGCGACGTGGTACCTTCCGACTATGTCCTTGGCGCGCCGCTATCGTGGCCGGCCTTTGTGGCGGCAATTCGCGGCTCGGACGCACCCGGCCACGGCGTCGACTGCGCATGGACTGTCGCCTTGGCCGTCGATCGCCACCTCCGCGCCGCGCCCGAGGCCACCTGCGAGCGCTTTGAAGCACTTGTCAATGGTACATGCGATGCACGCACGTTATACCATCGACTTCTGTGGCGTAGGCTTGCCCCACGGCGCTACTCTTTCGCCGCTCGTCCGCACGTATTGGGCGCATGGCCATCACTACATTAGCTTTACGCTGCTCGTGACGGTCCTCGAGCGAGCACTCTACAACACGTACGCACGCTGCAACGACGGTGTCAAGAGTAACATGATTCTGCGCGACTTGTTGCAATCGCCCGAGCTCGTCCAAGCGCTGCCACCCGGCTATCTGCAGCTGCTGCGCCTCCTCTTCTTTCCATCCGGGCTCAATTTGCGGAACCTTGTCGTACGTCAACGCCTGCGATCCTATCCAAGGTAGCAGTGTTATCCTCTTAGTGGCATGGGTTCGTCGCACCCATGGACCTGCCGGGGTGCTTCGCCTCGCTGCTTCTTGTGCTCTTGGTCGAGCCCGTGCTGCTCGACGCTGCGAGTGCGCACTTGGTCTACGCGTCGCTGCCGCCGTTTGCTCCGTCGACGGCCCCGCTTTGCGCGGCGACCCGGAACTTTGTAGCAGCCGTGGACCTCGACAACGTGTTTGCTGGTAGGGATTAGGGTTGACAAACGATGGAAAATACAGTGTCTCTAGCTGCGTCGGTGCAAGCCAAGGCACGACAACGGCTTGTACAGCGCGCGATCGACGCGTTGCAAGACGGCCACGCGCTCTTTTCCCTCTTTTTATCGATTCCCGTGCTCGAGTACCTCGTGCGCTGCGGTCCGACACCGTAGAATACCATGTCGTGGCGCCGTCATTCCTCTGCTGTAGACTTTGTGCGCGTCAATCCTAGCGTGCCCCGGGGCATGGCCCACGCGCAACTCGCCGAGTACTACTCGACGCTCGACGGCTTTGGCCAGCGCTCGCAGCACCAAGTGCTTCTCGCACGCACTTTGTTTGATTCGGTACCGACGCTTTCTTCTACCACAGTTCGTAGATGCGACTATTGCATTAGGACGACGATCGCAATCGACTCTACGAGACGCTGTCGCCGAGTGCGTTGGCGGCCTCGGTCGATCTCTTCATGTGCGCTGCCGGCCCTAACGTCCGCGCCAAGCTCTGCCACGGCGAAGTCGACTTGGTACACGACGCGTCCGTGCTGTAGTATGCACAATAGTGTCCTCTAGTCAACGCTGTGGGTTGCGACACCCTCGGGGACGACGACAATCGACATTAGCGCTGCGCTCGTGTTGCTGCTGCTGCTGGAGGTTGGTGTTTTTGCATCTTTTTGTTGATTTTTGTTGATTTTTGTTGATTTTTGTTGATTTTTTACCTGTTTGGCGTAGCGGCTTTGCCCGTCCGACCAGCTTGCGTCCGTCCTCCGCGCGTACACCAGCCAGTTTCACCCGTACGCCATGCTGCAAACCGAGCTCGGGAAGACCGCGGCTGCCCTCGCTTCCTTTGGCCACCAGAGGCGCACGGTGCGCTTCAATTGAACAAAGTCTCTTGTGCTAGAAGCTCCCGTGCTATAGGTCTACGCATATGCACTTGTACCCGTGTCGCCGACCGTCATGCGTCTCGAATTTGTCGCCAATCCTTGTACTACACTATTGTCATTATCGGATGTATGTCACCTCCTACACTATCCAATAGCTATGGGCATCACCGAAGCCAGTGCACGCATGTGTCCGACGTCCAGTGCATCGACGCTGCGCTTTCAAACCGTTCCCGATGGTCTGCAAGCGCTGTCCGCAGCGCTGGAACCGTATAAGGCAGTCTTGGCGTCGCATGGGTCGTGGTTTATGCATGTGAGCGATACTACGTACACGTCGTTGCTGCCAGAAATGGACCTTGAAGCGCTTGATGAGGCCATTCCGTCGTCTACCTGCATGCTTGCGATCCTTCATGGTATACATTTCTCTTTTAGTGATGTTTCAACCTCGGGTTGATTCGAGATATGTCGATAGCGTGCCAGCAACTATTGACAAGCTACGCGCAGCGGTAAAAATGTCATGCGTACAAAAGGATGCTAAGTTGTGGTGCTAGAATGGCCGATCTGTACGGCCTCTTGGCGACGGGCGGTGCGCGTACGAGCCATCGGCGATCGCTCTTGACAAATGTTCTCTACCAAGAGAGCTTTGAATCGATGCTCAGGGTTGTCCTTGGCCTGGTAGACAACGTGTTCATGCGATAGTGTGACGGTGGTGATGTCCACTCTGACCAATTTTTCTGGTTGTAGGTCGAGTATTTGGTGCTGCAAAGCGTGTCCGGGCTCCCATCGGCGCTCGAACCGATTCCGCGCAAGCTGCTTCCGTTCGTCGTCTCGCTCCAAGATGAGAAGAAGAGTTTGGAAAAGCATCTGCACGCATCGCTGCAGCTATGGCACTCGAAAGCCCTGCGTCAATTTCTACTGCAATAGTTCAACACGAACAACAACACCGAGTCATGCGCGTGGCAGTGGACCACACCACGTGTGGGCCCAATAAGACAGGGCTAGGTAAACAAACGCCTGAAGTGTCCAGGCTTTCGCTGACACCCGGCAATATGCATTAAAGCCATGCAACGCGGGAGGGTTAAAAAATCGCTAGGCCATCTACGCTCCTCCACAACCCTACTGCAACGATGGCGAATGCCAGTATTCCAGTAGCTGCGAGCTGCCGGTATGTAGGTCATGTGCTTGAAAGTCGGTTCGGTCGTCAGACACCGAGATCCATCGAAGCAGAATTGGACTCCGCTTCCACGTTTGTTGGTTGCTCCCTCTCTGCAAGAGACACCTCGCACGACATCAAGACAGAATGTACATTCGCAACACCTAAAACGAGATCAGAGGGAATTAGAGGTAGCAGCTCATGCCAGGCATCGCTAGCGTCGGGCCTGCCACCACCGGCAACGACGACCTCGACATAGGGTGGTAGCCGTCTTCCAAGATGGGCGAAATACGCTTCATGCAGCGGCGTGCACGCAGCCGGCGCACCTGGTGCGGTATAAAAGCCACGCGCTTCCCGCCGACGAGCGACGTGGCGTACTTGGCGCGGGCGTAGCACGCCGGCAGTGGAACCACGGGTGTGTTCTGGCGCTTGCTCAACTGTGCGAGGTACTTGGGCTGCACGACGACGGGCGACGATCGCGGCGGGGCTTTGCACAGCGTGTCAATGGACGTGTTGTTCAAGCAGAGCATTCTCCGAGATCTTAGAGGGATATCGACGACTGCTGGCCGATCGCCATGGTCGTGTCGAGATTCGAATTCGAATCTGGGATCTAGAACGTAGCGTCGATGCGAACCCAGCAGAGTCGAAGCACAGATTCATGCCAGAAGCCGCGACGGGATGCGAGCGTCAGGATCGGACAACTGCAAGCCTTTGTGACGCGGCAGCCTCGTCTCCCAAAGTAAGTACCAGGCCATACGCACCGTACTAGCTGGTACGGTGCGCCAGTAGCTAGTAGCTAGCAGCCTATCGAGCACGTTGTCGGTTCATTTCTACATGCCGGCAACGAGCGGAGGATTGATGTCATTGCTATGGCCGCCTTGGTATCTTTGCCAGCCCAGTTGACCGTTGAAATGGCGTGTTTTCAGATAAACATAGTATTACTGTAAAGGCTATAGATACCAAAAAACCGGATGCGCCTGTCTGAAAGGGCGCCCAAAGGAACATCCATCGATATCGCAATGGCGGCGTGCGCCTGGCTTACTTGCGTCGCCTATCAGCCACCACGGCGGCAAGGCATCCTTTGCCGGCAAGACGACCGCCGACGTCTGCTTGGAGGTCGTCCTACCCAAGCCCTAGCCGTCCGGGCTCTCGCTCGTCCACCATCTCGCCGTCGATGCAGCTACCACCGCCTACGTCGCGCCAGCCAATTGGGACGTCTCGCACACGTGGCGATATCTCTTCTTGGAGACCGTTGACAGCCTCGAGTGCTTCTTCGCCGACCATGACCTTGCCGACGAGGCCGTCGTTTGGTTTTGCGTCGACACCAACCAGCGCGTCCCTTTGGTGCAGTCGTTCGAGCCCTGGGCATTGACCTTCAAGACGAGTTTGGCAGCGATCGGCAACGTGGTCATGACTTTGCACCCGTGGAACGACCCGATCGTCTTGCGGCGAAGCTGGTGCGTCGTTGAGGTCTACGTGGCCGCGACTTTGGGTGCGAGCTTTGAGATTGCACTGGCGTGGTACCACAAGGCGCAGTTTCTCAAGGACATTGGCTGCGAGCTCAACGCGTTTCGCGGTATGCTGGCCACCATCAAGAACGAGGCGTCCGAGACCACCGTGCCCAGGAACCGCGACGGTAGTTGATTCGCGTTCATTGCAGTCGACTTGCTTTCCGACCTTGTCGAGATGGAAAACGGTGACACTGGGAGCGCCGATCGCTGCGTCCAGCGCGCCACTGGAGTGAGCGCCGTTGTCGCGGCATCTCGATTGCATCTTCGGGTGTGCCGCTAGTTGAAGCCCCGCACCGAGTAGGAGCCGCTCCTCCAAGCGGCCGTCCTCGACGACGACCACGAAGACATGCTCGCTACGTCCTTCTACCATGGCGATGTGCTGCTCAGCCTCGGCGAGTACGCGTCATTGCCCCGCGAGTGTTTGGCCACAAGCAAGGCGCCGCGATCGGCCACCAAACGCACAAGGCGATGGGTGGCATTGGCGCCATCTACCGGCACTGCCACGAGCCGCAGCGCGCTGTGCGGTGGCTGCCAAAGACCACGCGTTCTGCGAGGCCACGTATGGAAGCGACCACGTCTGTACAACCGACGCTTTGGTCGGCGCGTAGCTCGAGCTGGGCGATGCAAGTCAGGCGCTGCCACCGCGTACGCAGCCACCGCGCGTGCTTTCGATGAGGACGACGATACGGCGATGAACGTCGCGAGTACCGAGCTGCTCAGCGGTCGCTGGGACGACCGCGTTGCAGTCGCGGATGCAGTCGCAGATGCAGTCGACTGGCGCACACGAAGAGAGGGGAACTCTTGTATGCCCCTTCGCTGGATGGGGATAGAACCGCAGCTAGAGAGTGGAGAAAAAGTCAGCTCGTCAGCGTCGGCGAAGCAAATGCCAGTCACCCGCAACTCGATTCCGTCAACTCTTTTGCAGTGCGGGAGCTCGGCGTTTAGGTGACGAAGATCACGACGTGTAGTAAGGTCCAGGGAATCTTAGAAAGAATCTTATCGCCGTACTACGTATTAAAGTGCAGAAATCAGTGACAACAGTGGCATTGGGCGAGTCCGACCAAAATGTTTCCGTCGCAGGATCACAGCGGCTACAGAATGAGGCGCTCCCGGAACAAAACCAGTTGAACCGGCGCGGTCGAAAGCGCAGTTGCGACGCTTTGATTGAGGAACGGGTGCCCGCCGCGTCGACCCATGCCCCACGTGCAGTGTAAGGTCGCGCTGGAGGCTTTACATGCAGTACTGTACTAGTCCATAGTTCGTTTGTCGATGGCGGTGCTCCGATCGAATACAAAACCGTACTACGAAGGAAGAGAGAACACTCGACTATCAGTATTGAATAACTTAACTATCACTAGTACGCTTACTTGCAGCTGATCACATGGCCGACGACATCATCAAGACCATGTTGGTCGAGACAATCGTCGGGTCCTGCACGACCTTCTTGGGCTGCACGCCTTCTTTCAGCTCGTCAATCGGCCCAAGCTCGTCGACCGAGACCCGCGCCTTCATGGACGCGACTTGCTGCGGCAAGAACGGCACGGGCTTGCCACCGACGACCGTTGTCTGCTTGGACTCGTTGGCGTACTTGGCCGGCAATGGCACGACGGGGAACCGTGTCGGGCGCTCCGTCTTGGCCACGAGCTTGCGCCACCAGCCCTTCAACGTCTTCTTCTCGTTCTTCTTGGCGGTCGTGGAGGACTTGGAGCCGAGGAAGATCGCCATGGTCGTCGTTTGATGGGGCGAAATGTAAAGTGAACCGCAGCACCAACCACCCCGGTGTGGTTGCGACAAGGGTCGCAGAGTGACGGTATTTGGTCGCGCATCTCGCCAATTCAACACATGGGGACGTCCCACGGCTTAGCTTGGACTGATGCTGTCGATAAACATGGGATGTGGCCGGTCGTCATCGCACGCCACGTCGCGACTTGACGGCGGTCGAGGCGCAAGACCATACTACATACGACTGCCAACTGCTACGAGATGAACTCGCTGCTTTCGGTCTGCTGGCAGACGGGAGAGATAGCAGCGACACCAAGGGACGTGACGTTAGCGAGGCGGCGATGTACCGTCGAGAGATCCGGTTAAAGCCGATGTTTTTCAGATTTTTTGTAATGTGGGCCGCTCTAAAAAACCATCAGGTGCGCGTCTGCCTCTGCAGCGGCAGTCACGTAGTACGACGTAGCATCGTAGATGCCGCAAGACGCAAGCACCGCCGTCTCGTTGTATCTGCAGCCACCACCCATGAACACGGCCTGCACATCAAAGCAGCGGCGGCGGCAACGTCCAGCGCGTGGAATCGACTAATCGGAGCGATCACAGCAAACAGCCGGTGGGTGGTACATCCTTCCGAGCTTGGCCGAGCTCGGAAGGTCTGTCCCATGTGGCGGTGACCAATCTTTTGGGTGTTGCAGCAGCAGCTCCGACGACAGGACAGCTCCGACGACAGCTTCCGACGACAGCTTCCGACGGTCGCGCCGTCGGCTTTGTCTCTGCGACAAAGAGCCACGGTACATCGACGAATACACTACAGCCCTAGCGGGATGCACTGGTGGAGCGAGTGCCGACGACGGAACCTGCGCTTGCTGGACGCCTACCGCTAGCGAGAAGGAGCGGTGGGCTCGCTGCCACGTCAACGTCATGGATTACGCTTGCTTGCGTCCTCGGTGCAGGACAGGCCGTGCAACGCAAGAGGCACATCAAAGATAAATACGTGGTGCATTGTAGCAATAATGAAGTGTCGCGATGGATGCCAATAAGTTAGTACTCTTCGTCCGAGTCGTCGTCGTCGGGCTCGGCGCAGTGCGTGACGGATGCGCTCAGGCGCGCGCGCGCAGCGCAGCCCGGGCACACGAGTTGACCGCATGACGTCGTCGCGTCCTCGTCGATCGCGGCAAACGTGGTCATGGCGCGTCGCCGCTTCATGCGCGCGGTCTGGATCGGGCAAAACGGCACGCGCTTGCCACCGACGACCGAGACGTCCTTGGCTTCGGCCGTAAACTCGCGCGGCAGCGTGATGGGGGTTGTCGGTGCGTCGTATCGGATCGGGGCCGCGCCACGCCGATGGGCCAGCGCGTTGAGCGCGACGCACGTGCAGATGTAGCGTGCCTTGCTCAGCGCTCGCTTGGTCGGCGGCTGCTTGCGCGGGCCGACCGAGGCCAGCGTCCGCTGCCACCACGCTCGGAGCTTGCTCGTCGGTGCCATGCTGCAAATCTTAATCTGACAGCCTACGATCGCAACGTTCGAAATACCTACATTCTGTGTTGGCTATCCGGATACAACGCCGGTGGCTGCGAGGCGATACAAAGATCAAGTGCACTGTCCGGATAATCGCAGGCCGTTGACTAACCAGGGTGGCGGTCGTGGGAGTAGCTTGATGTCCGCAGCGCCGAGCTGGCGTCAACGCCACCGCCTTCATGGCGCATGTTGAAGACGTCGTCATATCGTCCCTCGATGAAGCCGATGGCTTTTCCGAACCCAAGGAACTGAGAAGAAAGATGCGTCGTCGGCTTCTCACGCATGGGCGAGAACGAGGCTCACTGGCTTGGACTCGCAACATGATCATGAACGTATATCCTGCTTCTTCTGATTTCTCTCGCGACGCAAGGCCGCTATAAGTGGGGCTGACATTGCAGAAAAATTGAATTTATTTATATTTTCGGTGGTATGTGGGAATTGGACCGCACGCTTATCAGCCGTGAGGTTGGCAGTCGTCGTACGACTATCATCAGCACGAGGACTTTGAAAAGACCGCGGGCACCGCGAGCTATCCTTTGAATGATAGGAATCGAATTTTCGATTTTCTGGATTTTACAATCCACAACCTCCACAACAAGGGGCAATAGAAACAACATGATGTTGCTTCACTTGAATGTGCGGCAAAAGTCTTCTCCCCACATGCGTGTTCCAGCAAGCGTCGTTTGGCGGATTTTTGATTTAAATTTCAAAGGCAAGGATCCCGACCCAACGACCGACATTCGTGACACATTCCGATGGCGCTGACGTGCGAATCTGGAATCCTCGGGAAGATGCGCTGTCGAGTGACGGAGGCGCGCTCACCATGAGGAATGGATTTATGTGGCATGAATTCGTACAGGTTAATGCATTAGGACCATGTGTGATTGTGTCTATAGTACGTGTCTGCTGTGTACACATGTACATGATAGAGTCGCGGTCGCAACCGCAAGGAATAAAACAGTATATTTCCATTGGCAAAACTGAGTGGTAAGTCTTGGCAGAATGACCTTGCATGACACGAACGCGTCACTGCGTGCGATCGTTTCAACCGATTCTGCGTTGATGGCGAGCAAGGGAATTAAAATCTATCTCCTTGATGGCGAGCGATGCAAGAACGACATGTCATGTCCATGTAGTGGCGACGTGGGTGATCATGTCCAACACGGATGCGTCGTCGTCTCTGCCCCGTGGACAGCGAACAAACGAACGAACGATCGAACGAACGTGCGACGCATTTTGGGTCCAAAGACAAGGGCGCAGACGCTTCGAATCCATTGCATGACGAAGAGGGAGCCCGACGTCATTGCTTTGGGCACTGGCCCACGCGCTGGCCCACGCGAGGCTGGGGATGATCCGTATCAAGTGTGTGGTTTCAAAAGTATCAATGTATGCAGTTGATACATTTGAAAGGCGACGGCGATGCCTCGTCGTTTGGATGCAACATGGTGCCCAAGCTATGGTCATCGTTCCTAAACTTCGATGTATTGAATGTCCCAACGGCTCAAAAATACTTGACGAGCTGCCCATGGAATTCGCTGCTTGGCGCCAGCACGCATCTTCATACTCAATTGTCGCGTTGGACGTGATTATACTCTCGGTCTCGTCTATAGCTGGACTCGGTAGCGTGGTCTTGTTTGCTGAAAGTAACAGCGTCCATTTCATTCCATTCTCCCTTTGCGAATACTGGTAGGACTTGCATGCCCTAGCGATGTATCCAAGCCATGTTAGGCTGCTTGCTGAAAGGCAAATTGAAAACTGAATTACCAAGCACTTAAAGACCTTGTCTTGGAACGTCTGGACGAGACCTTGTCTTGGAACGTCTGGACGAGGGCGTCTGGGGCAAGGGTAGCTGGCTGGAGCCTTCGAGAGATTTCTAGAACTCCTTCCAGCAGGCTTGGCGTCGGCATCACCAAAAGGATCGTAAGTACGTCTTGGTGATGACGTCACACGACACATGGATGATGTTGTCGTGACAGTCCCTCCCTAAAAGAGAACCATACTACGCAGATGGACTCTCCCGCGCCTTGTCGGTGAGCGCTTGGGAGTAGAGGTCGATGAGGCCCTTGGCTTGAACGAGCTGGTCTTCGTCTTCCCAGCTCGGCTCTTCGCGCCGATCGTACCACTGCACGAGGTACTGGACCTTGCGTCGACGAACGCGGCGGCCGATGATGGCCCGGATCTGGAGGCCTTCGGAACCGTCGCGGAGCAACAGACGCGGCACCACATTGACACGCTCGGTGTTGTTGTCCGAGGTGTGCGCGCGGAGGCGCGAGACGTGGAACTCGTCGTGGAGCTTGAGGCCGGGCGGTAATGCGAGCTTGTACGTGTCTGGCGTCGTAATGGCGAGGACCGGGTAGGGCCCGATGAAACGCGCCGACAGCTTGCGCTTGCCGTCCGTGCCGACATGCCGCAGATCCAGTTTGGACGTGTCGAGGAGCACTTGGTCGCCGATGGAGAACGTCACAACTGGTCGATTGCGGTCGTACTGTGCGCGCTGCGCTTCTTGTGCCTTGAAAATCGCGTCTTGGCACTCGAGCAGCACGGCTTGCTGCTTGTGGAGGAACTTGATCTCGGGTGCTCGGGCACTTGGCTTGGGCAGCGCGAGGTCCACCACCGATGGCGGATTGTAGCCGATGTCAGCCTCGAACGGCGACATGCCGATCGACGACTGATGGCCGGAGTTGTAGGCAAACTCGGCCAAGGCCAGGTGCTCATCCCAATCGTCGTGATGTGGGTTGACATAGCACCGCAAGTAGGCGAGAACCACCTGGTTGACGCGCTCCGACTGCCCGTCCGTGTTGGGCCGGAACGCAGAGCTCAGCTTGAGCTGCGTCCCGACAAGGCCATGAGCTGCTTCCAGAACGCCGACGTGAACTTGACGTCGCGGTCCGATACGATGGACTTGGGCAAACCGTGCAAACGCTGGTACCCATCTTGAAAGAGCACGGCGGTCGCCTTGGCCGTCGCCGTCGTGTGCGTCTTCAAAAAGTGCGCGCGCTTCGTCAGCCGATCGACTACGACCAGAATCGCGTCGTAGCCGTCCTTGGTCTTGGGCAGCTTGACCATGAAGTCCATGCTGATGTCCGACCACCGCATCGCTGGGATCTCGAGCGGGTGGAGGAGGCCGGCGGGCCGCTGCCGTGACGCCTTGGTCCGTTGGCAGAGCTCGCAAGAGCTGACGTATCGCGCCACGTACTTGGACATCCCCGGCCAGAAAAAACCCTGCGCCACGGACAACAAAGTCCGATGCTGGCCCGGGTGGCCACTGGTGGAGACGTCATGGTGCTCAAAGAGCACCTGGTTCTTGAGGTCATCAGAGTCGGGTATGCACAATCGCGGCTCTTGATCGTCGTTGACCTTGAAAAAAAGTAGACCGTCGCGGATCGTGAAAGTCGCGGCGGCCTTCTGCGTCGCGCCGTCGCCGTCACGAGCGGCCTTGAAGAGCGGCCCAAAGTACGCGTCCGACTCGTAGAGGCGGCGGCACTGCTCGTCGATCGGCGGCCGTTGCGCGGCGTAATCGGCAAAAAGAAGGTCGACCTCGTCGTCCTCGACGTCCTCGCGCTTGACGAGCTTGAGCAGGAGGTCCTGGAGCGAGACTGTCGACGCGCCGTCGGCTGGCTCCCATGCGGGGTTGCGTGAGAGCGTGTCAGCGACGACGTTGGTCTCGCCCGGAATCCAGCGGAAAATCGGCTTGTAGAGCGCCAGCGTATTCAGCCAGCGCGCAAGGCGCTGCGAGCAGGTACGCTGCGTCAAGATCGACTCCAACGTTCGATGATCGGTGTTGACGTAGAACGGCTTGTCGAGCAAGTAGACCTTCCACAGCTCCATGGCGTAGAGCGCGGCCAAGAGCTCCTTCTCCCGCGTAGGGTAGAGCAGCTCGGCCTTCGTCATCTTGCGCCCGCCATAGGCCAAGATGAGCTCGGCGCCCGTCGAGTTGAGTTGGAAGAGGTAGCCACCGATCGCGAAGTCGCTCGCGTCCATCTTGATGTGAAACTCCTTGGCAAAATCGGGCCGGTGGAGGATCGGAGGCTCGGAAAAACGCTTGCGGAGCTCGAGAAAGGCGCTGCGCGCGGCGTCCGACAGCGTAACCTTGTCCGTCGGTGCATCGCAACCCTTGATGGCGTCCGAGAGCGGCGCCATGAGCTCAGCAAAATCTGGGCAGTACTTGGACACGTAGACACATGTGCCCAAAAACGACTGCATCTGCCGCTTGGTCCGCGGCTGCGGCCAATCGCGAAGCACCGCGACCTTGGCCGGGTCCATGCGCAACCCCCGGCGCCCAATGATGTCGCCGAGGCACGGGATCTCGTCCGCGCAAAAGATGCACTTGGCCAACTTGACGTAGAGTTGGCGCTCTTGGCAACGCAAAAGCACCTTCTCGACCGCGTCAGCGTGGTCGGCGACCGAGCGCGACTCCGTGAAGACGAATACATCGTCAAAGTACGCGCGGCAAAAGTCGCCCATGTCCTTGAAAACGCCTTGAATGAGGCGGTTGAACGCAGATGGACTCGACGAGAGTCCCATCGGCGTCACGAGGTACTCGAAAAGCCCATCGGGGGTCGAGAACGCCGTGTACGGGATGTCGCACTCGCGCATGCGGACTTGAAAGAAGCCCCAGAGGAGGTCCATGGTTGTGAACCACCATGCGCGCGCCATCGCGTCATAAATGTCTTCCTTGCGCGGGATCGGGGACGCGGGAACCCGCATCTTCGCATTGATACCGCGAAAATCGTGCACGATGCGCCAGCCGTCCTTCTTGCGGACACAAAAGGTCGGCGCAGCGTACGGCGATGACGACGGCCGGATAATGCCGGCGTCGAGCATCTCCTTGACCCATGCTTGCAACGCGGTGCGCATCTCCGGGCTGAGGCGGAACTGCTTGGCGGCGACGGGCGTGTCGTCCGAGAGCTCCACCGTGGTCTCGACGTCGTCATGCCGGGTTGGCAGCGTCGTCGGGAGCTCGGTTC